GTTTTTGGCTTTTTGAAGCTCCCTCATCTTTATCGTTCTCCACTCATAGAAGCGAATCGCAGCAAATCACCCTGACTTTTTCGATGAATTCAATAATTGTACAATTCAGCAGAATACATAAAAGGATCTGAAAAACAAAACCTTTGACTAGTTACTTCAAGTTTCATGTTGCGCGCAATTTTTTAGTGGTTGTATGTTAAGGTGGCAAAAAATCTCCTTACTTTATTTATTGTTATTCTTCTCTAGTATTTAAGAAAGAAGTGGTAAAATTCCTCTAAAACACTTGAATTTTTGCACACGGCAAAATTTTTGGAGTGCTAGGACGTATTACTACCAGCCCGACCTATTCAAATTTATTAATTTGATTGTAATTAGGGCAGAGCTAATTTGATTGATTCTAAATTTATTAGCTCATTTTTGAAAGTTTATTTATGTAATATTTTGCTTTAAAAAAAATAACTGATGATTGCAGGTAATTTCGAAGGTTGCAATCAAACATTCCATCCTATGGTATTCTTTCTATTTCCTTTCCGTTATAGACATATGCTTTTCCTAATAACAGTATCGAGCTGTCGGTATGGACGCAATTCTTCAACTCATAATGTATGTCTTGCTTTTAAAACTGCAGCATGCGATTTTGTTATGATTTTGCCTTTATTTGTAAGCAGAGCTACACAACGTATTGTAAAAAACGTATCGTATTGTAAAAACCTGCCTAAAAATTCTGTCAAAGGTTAAAATACTAGTTAATGCACCGGAGTTGTGCTATCATCAACTGATTAGTTTATGAAAAGGAAAATATTCAAAATTTTCTCTACATCACTGCTTTTCTTATTTTAAAAAGATTTTTCTTTGGGAAAGTCATTCTGCATTTCCTGCTGAAATGAATCCCAAATTTAATTCCATACCTTAAAAAAACTTGCAATTTAAGGTGGAAAAAGGCTTAGTTAGCAAAGTAGTTAAGCCAGTGAACAGTTGGGTCTATTTGTGTAAAAAGATAGAGCTTCGAGGGTAACTTTTTTAATCAACTCGTACATCGTGAACAAGTACAGAAAAATGATAGGTATAATCGAAGAGGAAACCCTGTATAGTATTCATCACCTTTTTGACGCTAAAAGAAAGGCTAACTGTTTGATCATATTTAATTTTGAGATTTAAAACCGTGTTTCGCTTGTGCTGAACAGATAAACTGCCGTTTCAAATTCTAAACTGGTACTGCCGTGAGTAGTACCAAGTGTTAACAATCTTCTTACGCAGTGTCTGCCGACATTTTATTACCCCAGCAGAAAGTCCAGAGTCGAGGAAAACCGCTCAGAGTCATCAAAAAAGAAGGAAAACTTGAAGAACCTGTCGTTAAGCAGACTACAGGCGGATAAATGATGTTCGTTTCAGGCGCACAAAACAATAATTGGCATCGATAAGGATGGCATCGCTAAAGGCTATGGCGTCAAATCTGACTACTGAACTTCGTTTTGTAGATTTGTACTTCCAAAAATTGAAGACGTGTAGCTGGGCTCTACTAAAATTTATTTTGCTTCTACAGAACACAATTTTTCAAGGAACCGGCATTTTTCTCACTTCTATCGCTTTTTAGACCTTTTAGACGTTTTTTAAAGGACTTTATAAACCTGAATAACGTGTATCCAAACCATGTTATGTCTCGTAAGTTTTCTGTTAAAAAAGGTTTTGAAAAAGTCGCAGTTTATAAAATGGCAATATTTAATAGACAGTATCAGAAAAACATAACAACTAAACAATAAGCCTTTTTTTACACTTTTTGAACAGTTATATTAGGTTTGTATTAGCCAAACGGAGATCATGGAGTTTCTCTCAGTGGAAAAAAAGCTGAAAAAAACTTTATTTTTTAAGAGCAATAGTGAACGGTTCTATTTGTTTACTATAATACCTGAGTTAATTTTATCACGAGAGATGCTGAATACAATACAGTGCTAATGATAGAGATGTGGAAAGCAAATTATACTCGATTAGATATTACTTTACCAAAAATTTTGACAATTAACACGCCAACGGAACATCCTCATTTAGCAAAAACTATAGTTTTTAGAGGTCTAATTAAACAAAAATATATTTCTTCTTTCAAAAATTCACTGCGCTACAGTGCAAACCGCTGACTATATATTAAATCAGACAGCTCATGTTCTTTGTTTCAAAATCCAAAACTTCCATTGCACCTTATTCAGATTATTCATTATACATCTCAGTTTCTTCTAAACTCATTCTGCTGATATCTGCATTACTTTGTCTGCAAAAAAATCATCTCTATTTACGAAATTACATATATTCAAGCTGTGCGTCCGGCAAATATAAAATCAGGAAATACACGGCAAGCGGTTTATCGACAATAGGCTTTACAATAGAGGCTAAAGTCAAAGGTGCAGAGAGCATAAACATGTGCAAGTTTGGATAATTGCGAAACTAGCACAATAGCAATAAAAATCTACATCTACTAAACGCACTGAATAATGCGATTTTTCATCACTGGGATTTTTTACCGTGTAAAACTTCGTCAATCATCTTTTCAAGAGCTCTAGCATCTGCAGCAAAACGACGTATTCCCTCTGCTAACTTATCTGCCGCCATAGCTTCGTCGTTGACCTGGAAGAGAAAGTCTGCTTGTGACACCGATATTTTTTCCAAATCCGATGATTTCGCTGCAATGTAAAAAGTTAGTAAAAGTAAATTTAAGAAAACTTATTATTTTTATTATTACTCTCTTTTGTCACATTTTCTTTATAAAGTTATTTTTGCCTTCAAGATAAAAAAAACAAATTCAGATAAATCAAGAGAATACAACAAAAAAAAAACAAGGTGGATGTAATGAAAAAACCAAATTTAAAAGTTAAATAATGAAGCTTTTCAAAGCAAACAGGAATCAAAGTGACCAACCCTTATCAACGCTTAAAACAACTTCAATCTGCTCAGTATCGCTGTCCATTTCTTTTAAAAGTGAGGGACTGCAAAAGACATCATAGGTAACTTTATAATTGCATGTTACAGCTTAAGGGTTATTTTATGATAATTCATAAGAGCTGTAAATTTTAAAGACAAAGACAATTACCTCAAAATGACTTGAAAATATGATTGTATAGAAGCATCAGTACTTTCAAAAAGATCAAACTTTAATTACCTAATAGTTAAAAGATCACAACCAGCTAAACCCTTAATTTCCTCTGTGTTTCTGAAAGATGCTGCCATGACTTGTGTTTTATATCCAAATTTTTTGTAGTAATTGTAAATCTTTTTGACGCTCTAAAACAAGTTTGATAAGACACTTTTTCATCTAATCAGATACAGTATTTTAAAGTGATATATAGTGTTGGTTATTTGTAACTGTCACGAGACTGCATACTTTGTAAAAGTGGACTTCAAACCTTAGAGTGTACAAAACTATAATTAAGAAAATAGAGTACGTTTCCAATCAACACTTTAGAAGAACTATTTACCAAAACTCCAGGATCATTATTCCGATTGTATGTTTTCTTCTCTTTATTTTTCAAGTTCCAGTCGAGAATGCGGCCAACAAACGGAGAAATAAGAGTTACTCCAGCATCAGCGCATGCAACAGCCTGGTAGAAGCTGAACAACAATGTCATGTTGCAGTGTATGCCGTGCTTGGTTTCTAATTCCCTGAAAAGTTTTTCACACAATTAACACTAAAGAACACATGGTATTGTCAGAACAAACTGGAATTTGAATCTTTTGACTACAGCAGCAAGTGTGACAACCGCTGAAAACAAAGCGAGTTTCCTCTAATGTGAAAAAATGTAAAGAAATCTAAGCGAAAGGTAAGTTTCACGGTAACTGTAAAATTATTGGAAAAACGATTACGAAGATATGTGGACCTGCCAGCTTGTATTCCTTCCCAAGTAGAGGCCAGCTTGATAAGTACTCGTTCTTTCGAAATGCCCTCTTCTTCATAAAGTTTTATCAGAGACAGTGCTTTGGCAACTTGAGCTTCCTTATCGAACGACAATCTAATAAGCAAGATTTTAAAAAGCAAATGGAGAATTGCAAATTACCAAAAAGCACAAATTCATTTTTGATCAACAAATTTCTAGTTGTATAAAAAAATTAACCTTGCATCAACTTCTGTAGAAACTCGACCAGGAATAATTTTTAATATCTCTTTACCAAATAAAACAAAGAGTTTATCCATTGCAAGTTTCCGCACCTAAAGTTATTTTGCAATAATGCTGATGAGGAAACAATAGTTTGAACAACATTATGCTAATTTGAGATTCTGCTTATTTCCTTTGAAAAGAAGAAGAAACGAAACTTAGAGCAAATGCTTTCAATTGATTATTATTAATACATTCTTTATTAATTTGGGTATTCTAATGCTGCAAAAAAACTTGAAGCACTTTAACTGAATCGAAAGGCTGCTCCGGCTAAAAGAGAAACAAAGAAAGCTAAAATTTTCATTGGAATTTCTTTCTTTAATTTCTTATACTGCTGCACAGTTTCGTTAGATGGTACATCTGTGAAATAATTAGGAAACGCTGTAAAGTTGGCATCAAATGTGCTTTTCGAAAAAAATCAGAAGTCTCTTCTATAGTAATATAATTTTTACTGTAACAATTTTTCAGAATCTTCAGAAATTTAATTACTGTCACTAAAAAAAGCAAATTTTTACAGAATAAGCATTACACTATATTTTAAAAAAGCAACATTTTTATTTTATTCCCGAGAAAAACGTTATTTTTTTCAGCATGATTTCTTGGCAAACCAAAAGCTAAAATTTTTCAATTATTGATGATAGTCATACATTACAATAAATTGATGCATTTTTGGAAAACATTCTTTTATGTAATGAAACAACAAAGCTTGATATTTACGTTATGTCTAGTAGACTTTACCGAATTTTGTAATATTAGTGCATGAAAGCAAGAAAAAAGTTTTTTATGTGTTGCGCACAACGTTGAAAAAAGAAATGAGAAAAGTTGTACATTTTCCTTTCCACTGGTGTTTTCTTTTGCATACTTAATTGCCTCGTAGAGCAGATGATTATAAGCTTCCATTTTTGAAGCAGCAAGTAAAAGAGATGGGTTGGTTGTGGCATCAGTTGGGTGGAATTCTTCTATCGCTACAGAAATATGAAAGTATTACAAACTGTGTTTCATATTCTTTTTTCATTTCAAAAGGCAACAGA